TGTATAGTCCACAGACAATGGTCCGGAGAAAATGGCATGCTATTTTAAATGCTTACCTATCTCTGTAAGGTTGGAGTCATCGAAGGCTTCAAAAGAGGATGCTCGTGGTTGCCTGTCACTTGTAGAGCACACAACGGCAGTGGGAAGTAATGCTCTGCTAAAGGCTGTTTATATCTGCACTAAGAACTTGATAGTGAATATTTCTCCTGGCATTAGAAACAGGCGAGAAGGAACCTTTAATTGCAACCTAAGTGATACGGATTTTTGTTCTTGAAAAGTTCAACACTAGACAGTACAAAAGGTGCTTACTGTGCACACAGGGGTCACCAGAACTGCTCCTTGGGTGATCAGGCAGGTTACCTGCACCTAAAGCATAAAAAAGACTTGGCTGTTGATGGCCATTAGATTATGGAAACATTGCAGGACCTGGAGTAAAGCACCAAATTAACAAGAGAAATTTATATATACAATTTAGGGACACAGACCTTGCTAAAACTGTCATAACACAGAGATAAAAATACAGCGGCCTATCTCATCCCCGAGAGTAGGTATTAGCATGAAATGCTTTGAATGGGAGCCGACGCTAGTGACATCTGCATGCCCTGGGTACATAACAACGTGCAAAAAAAGAACGGTGGCTTTCTTGACTTGCATTGCATGACATGCGGTTGTACCCCACTGTTGGATGAAAGCGTAAAAATTGGGAAATGCAAGTCAGCGGTAACACGCGAAATCATAGAAGCCGAGCACATTGATTATTTAGGAGACACCTGTGTTTCTATGCCGTCGATTCCATTATCGGAGAAAGAATTGTTTTTCCTGAGAACGAGATAATGTTGTTTCCCAGGTATGCTCTGTGATGGTGTTTTTCCTTTACTTTTGTCGTTTTGTTGTCATTGTGACGATGGTTGAGACAATATATACCGGAACACATTTTCAATAAAATTCAGTTGAAAGTTGCGCCTTGTTGTGTCCTCTTCTCTGCTGTTGTCCTCGTCCTTGTTGCGCACAAGATTGTATCGGAGAGAGAAGCATGGAGCAGCAAAAAATGCTGATAGAGGCGATCTGTCAGGCAGAGCTTCAGAAGAAAAACTCCAGTGTAGAAGCGAACAAGCCTGAATTCAACTGCCTTCAAACAGTCCATTTCATCGAGTCCTCGAGACTTTCGCGGGAATTCGCTTAATATGTGAGGACGCAGCTGCTCGCTTTTCTCGTAAAAAGCATGCCGCTCTAGCGGCCCCAAGCGAACAGCGAGTGGTCCTGAAGTCCACAATGAAAGCAGTTTCTTCATGACCCCAAGCAGAACAAGAAGCATATAGTCCAAGGGCAAATCGTGCACGCTGTTGATAGGCAGGTTCAACAGAATGGACTCTCCTTTGTGATCTTCTGCATCATGCTGCTGCCTGAAACTGAAGTCTGTGCGTAATGGGCAGTTCATGTCAAGGAACACTACTCCTTCATCCGAGTACAAGCCCTCGACCGTACACTTTGGGCAACCACTGTAGCCTCCATACCCCTTCGTCATTGTTATGAAGGCTCGTGCAGGAGCATCGCAAATGATGGACGTCACCTTGACTTCTACAAGACTTCCATTGACAGTGACACCTTGTGAAAGCAATGCCTGCAGCTCTTCAACGAAAGTGACTAAGAAGTTGTTTGAAGACACTGGCTTCGAGTGCCCTGCAAATGCACCAACAAGGAATGGTGCTATATCATCAATCCCACCAACCAAGCACTGAATAGGCCAGAGTTGCATTTTCGAACTCTTTGACAAGGGCAAGCCATCTATGTTGAAACTGAGGGTAAGGAGAGCGGGCAACTTCTTTACATGGCACAATCCATGTTGCAACCCAGCAGCAAGTCCAAAATGGCAGTATTTCCATGGTTCCACAGTTTTGATGGGGAGTTGTTCATGTGGTCTGCGAGGAGTCGGTTACAACGTGCGTCCATCTTTCGGCAGGTCGGACAGTCCACCCCGACTTCTTAATAGCTTGAGGAGAGCTGTCACTGGCCTTCTCTTAATTCTATGATCTATTTGCCCACTCTCGCAACGAGTCTTGGAACCCGGCAGGCATGCCTGTACCTTCCTCAGACTCGCTGCACTCGGAAGCACCCAGACCTGGCAAGCCGCCTTCAACGAACTCAACGCACGAAAACGCCTTACCGCAATCTGCCCCTTCGCGCCTGGACTCCTGGCGGCATTGCTCGCTGGTATCTTTCAACGGCGGTGGATATCGGAGGTTAGTTGCGGTTAGTTGAACACTCTCATGTTCTGTCTCCTGAGCGTCGTCGTCGCCAGCGTAACCAAGAAGTTCAAGAGTTCTTGTTTCTCGAGCAGCTTTTTCACAAGCGTGTGCTCCTAGCGAGCGCGGCATGATACTTGAAACTAGCAGATCCCATACGGAAAAGAACAACACTTCGCCACAATTGCATACAAAATGGGGCTATATCTGAACTCGTACATAAAAGGTACATCAACCGGCTAAAATGAACACAACTTGGCATATACTCACCTTGGCACTGACGACGACGTGGTGGTAGACGATAACTGTAAAAAGGTAAAAACGCGCGAACCTGGGGGCGCCGACTGAGCGAGAACAAAGGAGTCATAACGACAATGGCAATATTGCCAATCTTGCGGCTACTACTTCAATAGAAAATTTTAGAATAGCGCATACTAAAGCTTTGCGTACGCAAATATCGTTGTGGCCACTGCGCATGCGCAAAACGATGACCACGTTTTATGCATTGCGTGCGCTATTTTAGCGCACACTATTTCTCGGAAATTGCGTGCGTACGCATAAGACTTCTCCACCCTATTGGAAAACCCCAATATAAACAGCGTATTATGGATATTGGTAAACAATATCTTTTTATTGTATTGCAATACAATATAGACAGTGTATTGGAAGACATTACATTTATTGTATTGTATTACAATAAGGATTTGTTATGGGATTCCAATATCCATAATACGCTGAAAATATTGGAATCCAATACCGTATAAACCCTTATTGGATCCCCATGTGTCGTATGGGGATCCAATAAGGGTTTACGATTCCAATATACTCAGCGTATTATGGATATTGGAATCCAATACATTATATCGGCTACCAATAAAACTATATACGAGTTGGAATATCACGCTCAGCGCAAAATTTCTCTGCAACGCAGTCTCTTCTTGTGTGTATTTCAGAGTGATAAATTAAAAAAAATGTTGCTGTTGTCAAATTATGAATAAAGAAGCAAAACACTGGGCTTATCCAAACCAAATATATTTATCATATTCCCGAACTGGAGAATCTGGCATTTACTGCAAAAGAAAGTTAATTGTTTAGGACCCTCATTCAAAAACTTGATGTTTAAAAACAGAATGCGAAATCCTCACCTTTTAATGAAAACCGCACCTGCTAGCTGTAGCCATATAGAAACTGCAAAATAAAAATTTGTGATTAGTTCGCAACAAGTAGCAATCCTTCACTAAGCCGGGTAGATTCAAAATTATGTGTGTTTGATTGCGGAAAAATAAGCTTCAATTCCACTGCCACCGGTCATTCTGAGCTCGGTCAATTAAATATACCTATCCGCTCGTCTGGCTTCACTATTCCTGCTTCACACCTAACTAGAGTATCTGGAATGCTCACCTTTGAGGAAAAACAAACTGGTGCTTGCTTGCTTGTAGGCCGTGGAAACTGGAAGAGAGATTTGCGATTAGTTGCGTTCAAGTAGCAATTACATTGAGTAGCCCCGTAAAGTACACTAAGTCGGAAAGATTAAAAAAATTACATGAACGGATATAGATAACCTCTTGCGACGTAACTGGGCACACGTCAATGTCGCTCGCGTGTATAACAGAAAAATAAGCTTCAATGCAGGAGCCCCCAGTCGTTCTGAGCTCCGTCAACTAAAAATGCTGTAACGGTCGTCTGGCTTCAGTATTCCTGCTTCGGGAATCTGAAATTCTCACCTCTGAGGAAAAGCAAACTGGGACTGCTGGCTCTTAGGCCGTGGAAAGCGCCAGAAAGATTTGCGATTAGTTGCGTCCAAGTACCAATTTCTTTGACCAGCCACCTACAGCACACTAAGCCAGATAAATTCAAAATTACATGTGCGTGACATAATATGCCTCTTGTGACAAAACTGGGCACATGTTTTGTCGCCTACAGCAACACTGCAACCAGACAGACAAGCGGTACGGCATCACACCTAACTAGAGTATCTGGAATGCTCACCTTTGAGGAAAAACAAACTGGTGCTTGCTTGCTTGTAGGCCGTGGAAACTGGAAGAGAGATTTGCGATTAGTTGCGTTCAAGTAGCAATTACATTGAGTAGCCCCGTAAAGTACACTAAGTCGGAAAGATTAAAAAAATTACATGAACGGGATATAGATAACCTCTTGCGACGTAACTGGGCACACGTCAATGTCGCTCGCGTGTATAACAGAAAAATAAGCTTCAATGCAAGAGCCCCCAGTCATTCTGAGCTCCGTCAACTAAAAATGCTGTAATGGTCGTCTGGCTTCAGTATTCCTGCTTCGGGAATCTGGAATTCTCACCTCTGAGGAAAAGCAAACTGGGACTGCTGGCTCTTAGGCCGTGGAAACCGCCAGAAAGATTTGCGATTGGTTGCGTCCAAGTACCAATTTCTTTGACCAGCCACCTACAGCACACTAAGCCAGATAAATTCAAAATTACATGTGCGTGACATAATATGCCTCTTGTGACAAAACTGGGCACATGTTTTGTCGCCTACAGCAACACTGCAACCAGACAGACAAGCGGTACGGCATATTTAATTGACGAAGCTCAGAACGACTGGGGACGCTTTCACTAAAGCTTGTTTTGCTGCAATACACACCTGTATTGCAGCAAAACAAGCTTCAGTGAAAGCGTCCCCAGTCGTTTTGAGTTCTGTCAATTAAATATGCCGTACCGCTTGTCTGGCTTCAGTATTGCTGCTTCAGAGCAATCTAGAAAATCTAAATCCTCACCTTTGAACAAGAACGAACTGGCGCCTGCTGGCTTGTGGGCCGTGGAAACTGCAAGAGATTTGCGATTAGTTACCTCCAAGTGACAATTTTTTTGAGTAGCCAACTACAGCACATTTAAGATTATATGCACGGGACATAGATGCCTCATGCGACGAACTCCCTTCATCCTTGTTTTCTGTTAACTCTGCTCACCTTCACCACTCGCCTACAATTTCTGCGCTACTTCTTTAATCTCAATTCCCTGGTTCCCAAAGGCCATGCCATGGCTTGTGCCAGTAACGAGTCTGTCAGCTCTGCAACCGGCGCCATTGTGGCAAAGACGCCACAGCACCTGGCGCTGGATGTGTTCTCTTAAAGGCCGACGACCACACACGAGATTCTGCAAGGCAGAAGATCCTCCTCCCCCTGGGGGAGGAGGAAACCGGCAACGGTGGACAGGGTAGGAGGGCCGAGAGAAGGAAGCGAGGGAAAAGTGGAAAGCGCAAACTGGTCGTCGGTCTTTAATATTTTGAGCATGGCTCAAAACAGGTGGATGGGTGTCCGGTATGCCCTAGGCTTATTTGCGGATCGTTCCGAATCAGAGGGTAGGTGCTTCTGTGATCTGGGCGCATGCTCGGTATTTTACAATAGTTGAAATTGAACTCTGCAGGAATCTTGAAACATAACAAACATAATGTACACGCCAAAAGGCATAGCAAATGAAACACTTACCATCTATCTATTTTCGTTTCTTGTCCGCAAGAAGCTGTCGTATATGTAGCCTCCCTTGCTTAAGCCGCTCCTCCCTAGTGTCCCGGCTGGGTCTCATCCTGATGAATCATCGGTGGAGACCTGAGGTGCGGTCAAAATCAGATCAGACCTTTTTGAGACAGAACCATATACTTGCTGAGAGGACTTACACCCAAACAAATCTCAGGCCTGTCATTTATAGTGCGTTTTGAAATGAGATGCATGATATAAAATGAGGCGTCAATACTGACGCACCCCTTTTGCGAACCTAAACTTTTGAAGGCCTTGTCCCCCTCGCTAGGCGGACAATCACATGAATCCTGGCATGTGGATGAAATTTTTACCTTAACACCCCGACTCAATGCCCATCCCTGAATATTCGACCACCACACTTTAAGAAAAAAAACGATTTTTTTTACAAAACACAGAGTCATCCACCACTTCGACAAAAGCCTGCACCAAGCATACTCGTACAGTGGCTTTTTTGCTCTGTGCCGCCCCAAGTTAATTCGGGCCAACAATGTTTTTTGTTTTTTTTTTTTCAAATGGAACTTACATTCTTAGTTTCGGTTTCACTTGTAGAGGCAGGTGGATACTTTTGTAAAGCTTCCTCCTTATGCGCTTCCGAGTCAACATTTTTGCAATGGCCAACCCCCGGGCTTTGATTTTGCGCTCCTTGACAAATGCTGAAACTCATATAGGCGGGAAATAGCTCGCCTTGAAAATACTTGCTCTTGGTAGCCGAGAACAAACACGTGTTCCTGATTGGCAGCCATTTGCTGCGAAGAATACCTGCACATATCCTAAAGAACCCAGTCTTAGTCTAACACAGATGCTTTGGCCGGACAGAGACACAAAAGTCTGACACAAGACCACTATAAAGACAGGAAATAGAGTGCCTGTGAGGAATGAAACACACAACACAGGTAGGCATCAATCACTCACCTTGAAAATACTTGCTCTTGGTGGCCGAGAACAAACACGTGTTCCTGATTGGCAGCCATTTGCTGCGAAGAATACCTGCACATATCCTAAAGAACCCAGTCTTAGTCTAACACAGATGCTTTGGCCGGATCTGATACAAACCACAAAAAGCAGGAAATAGTGTCTGCGAGATATAAAAACAGACCCAGGTGGAGAGGCTCGTTCTGTTTCACCTTAGTCAAATAGTGTAGCTCATTTTGCTAAAACAATGCATATTTGCTAAAAAAAAGTATATATATTTTGCCCCATTTAGCAGAGTTTACTGCCAAGGGTATTTTTGCACACCAGAATAAGTCAGACTTAGTAAGTTTTTTTTTCTTCTTCTGATGAGCGACAACAATCCTAAACGGGTGATGAAACAAAATATGAGCCCAGCAAGACAGGCTAGTTTGCCGTGTGCAAGCACAGTGCCTCGGCCGACAAATGAGGTTCTATTCTTGGTCACTTGTCATATTTGGTGGGAATAGTAAAGTGAACGAAAATAAGGCTATCTCTCTTGCAGCTGACAGCTGCAAACAAAATTCATATACCTCGATGAATAACCAGGAAATAAAATTGTGTGGTGGCCGAGTGGTTTCAGGTGTCAAATTTCAAACTTACAGACTGTGTAGTTCTGGTTTAAGTCCTTTAAGCCCTTCTAATCTAAATTGTTTTTCTTTTCTAAATTTTTGAGGCACTAGCACATAATTTATATGCTAATTCACCTTTAGAAGCATTTTAATTATACTCGGCGGCTTCCTAGTGCCCGTAATAGATTCTCAGTAAGAGTGGTTTCTAATTGTTTTTTCTTGCTCTCGCTGCTGCTTGCTTCCTCACCCTTAAAAGACTGACAACTCAACACAAAAGTAAAAAAAAAATGTGTTTCAAATGTGATGAAGATCAGCATTTACAAGTTGTACCCCTCCTTCATGCCCCGACCATGCCACCATACCATACCTGAGTGCAGTGACGCATGGTCCCAGGTGCTGTGACCCGGCCATATATGGCCTTACAGTGTGATGCGACTCATGCAGCACCTATGCTTCATGATGGAGATAGTGTGCGAGGTGCGACCTGCTAGAGCTCTGCACTACAGCTTTACAGCCTGCAAAGGGTGGGAAGATGCCCGTCCCTTTGCAGAGCTCGCAATAGCTCACCAAGAAGCTATTGCAAACACTAGGGAGCCACAGAGCGTGAATAAAGGCACTTCTGAATGCGAATTAGTGTGCAAATTATGTGTCTATACATTAAAACTAAAAAAAGCATATATATGTATATGCATATGTATATATATATATATATATATATATATATATATATATATATATATATATATATATATATATGTATCAGGGATGGGCAAAATACATGCAAATATATTGAAATACAAATACAAAATACTTCGTCAAAAATGTATTTAATTACAAATCTAATTACATTTCCAAAAAAGGATTTAAAGGGATATTGAACCAAAGAATTTAGTGTCCATAATAAGTGGCGCACGTTCTTTCCACGAGCCAGCAGCCGCCGGTGTGCGCGAGCACACGCCACGAAAATTACGTCAAAGACCTCCATTCTCGCTTAAGAGGACAGTGAAATGCGTGGGATTCGGGCCAAAGGAGACTAAAGCCAGGCTTTTCATCTCTACAAGTGACAGCTACGTGCTTGTTAGACCAACTAATCGCATACCTGTTACACCAGACATCACTGTGTAGATGAAAAACTTGTCTTTATTCTCTTTTGGCCTGAAGCCCATATATTTCACTGTCATCTTAACCGCGAATGGAGGTCTTTGACGTCATTTTTGTTGCGTGTGCTCGCGCACACCGGCTGCTGCTGGCTCGTAGAAAGAATGTGCGCCACTTATTATGGACACTAAATTTTTTGGTTCAGTATCCCTTTAAGTACAAGATACAAATACAACGAAATGTGTTTGGTCTCTTCCAAATACATTCCTCAAAATTAGCGTCAGCGACTTCAGGGCACCTGCAACGGGTTTCTGGGTATCTCATTTTAATTTTGTATCGCACACTTGGGAGTTAGTGTGCGAGGCTCTAGCAGTCTTGGGTAGTAACGCGTTACTAGTAACGCGTTACTAGTAACGCGTTACTGTAACTTCGTTACTTTTTTGGTAACTTGTAACTGTAACGAGTTACTTTTTAAAAATGTAACTTGTAACTGTAGTTCCATTACTTTTTTCTGAAGTAACGATGAAAGTAACGACGTTACTTTTGTCGTTACTTTGCAGTGTTTTATGAATAATATATCACTGAACGAGGGTGCAATCAAGCCATTCCTTGCACTTTCCAAATCGTCTATTCCGAAATTTCGAGTGACAAGTTGGCCTTGCACAAAGTTGTGAATACGTTCTCTCTCGCGAGTCACGAACCGAATATAGCCACGTGTAGATTTTATGAAAAAATATCTAGTTATCTTTACGCACGCGCTTGTACTTCGTGCCTAAACACTACCATCTTACCGCCGTATTCAGAAACCTCACTCGAACTCTACTCAAACTGAAGGGCCCCTCCACTTCCTCGAGGAAGGCGCGAGGGCCGGCGCTGGCCAATCGCGACGGCGGATCCGTCCTCGCGATTGGCCAGCGCCGGCCCTCGCGCCTTCCTTGAGGAAGTGGAGGGGCCCTTCAGTTTGAGTGTAGTTTGAGTGAGGTTTCTGGAATTCGGCGGTTAGTGTCTTGAAGCACTACCTCTGCTGTGTTTTTTCTTTTTTCTGTGCAAACGCTTTTTAATCGGGTGAATCAACCGTAAAACAATAATACACGTGAAGGGCACTGCTCATGTCTCGTATTTTGATTAGCGCCACTACTCCGCACTGCGCATGTTTCGTATTTTGATTTGCGCCACTACTCTGGCGTGGAAACTTTCAAGCACTAACTTGGAGAAGCAACTGCTGCTAAGTTACAATATGAAGTAAAAAGCGTACTTTTTTTTAATTTTATGCAATAAAACGTTGTGAGGGGCGTTTTCTAGTTTTTTCTAAAATTTTGTTTTGTGTTATAGAAAAGTAACTGAAAAGTAACGTCGTTACTTTTTAAAAGTAACTGTAACTGTAACGAGTTACTCTTTTGTTGCGGTAACTGTAACGGTAACTTCGCTACTTTTTTCTGAAAGTAACTGTAACTGTAACGAATTACTTTTTAAAAATAACTTACCCATGACTGGGCTCTAGTAATGTTATAGAAATATAATCATAAAAAATGTAATCAGCTTGGACGTAATAGGTTAAAAAAGTACAGAGCTTCAAACAGCTTTTTTTTTGTCGATTACATTTTGTTATAGACCAGGGGTGGCCAAGCAGCAGCTCGCGAGCCGCATGCGGCTCTTCGCGTGTTCAAGTGCGGCTCGCTGCTTCCTACCCTAGCCACTCCCCCCCCCCTCCCCCCTTTCCCTGGTCACACGAGCACTTCCCCAAAAAGAGAAATGAAACGCGCTTTAAATCGAAAGACAGGTTGCGGTTTGGCAGTGCTATCTACTACCTTACGTACAGTTTGGACTCGGATAGATTGAAAGTAATTCGAATATCGTTTATTGCTCTCGACAAAAACTTGCCTCCCCCCCTTGCCCCCCCCCCCCCCCCCCCGCCCCTTTCCGTGGCTCTTGGAAGTTCCGTGGTTTTGTTTGCGGCTCTTCGGCTGGGTCAGCCTGGCCACCCCTGTTATAGACCAACAAAGAACCGAGACGACCAAGACGCGCAGCACTATCTAGAGAATTTTTTATTGTTCCAACTCGCACCAGTTACGAAAATCTGGACAACCCGCGCATTTAGAATGTTCCAGGCAAAAGTATGGATGGAAATCAGGCTGGAAAGCATCACAAGTGGTCACAGGCACTTGTTTAGCCAGTCCGCTAGTGAACGTCGATTTCGTCACTATTCTTGCCCTGGACTAGCACCGTAATCATAAAGTCACTAAACGCTTGTGCTTGATTGAGAGACACTGCATTCGGTGCAGAACGTAGTTTTCTTCCTACTCTGAACACATCTTAGGTGAGCAAATTGAGTCGTGACAATAAATTTGAGGGATGTATTTTCGCCCACAAAATTGTATTTAATTACAATTGTATCTGAAATACCCACATTTTAATATTTAAATACACACATGAAATACATTACCCAATTTGTAATTAAATACAAATGCAAAATACACAATGTATTTGGAATACGTATTTCAAATACTTGTATTTGCAATATTGCCCATCCCCGATATGTATATATGTGTGTCTGTGTGTGTGTGTCTGTGTGTGTGTGTGTGTGTGTGTGTGTGTGTGTGTGTGTGTGTGTGTGTGTGTGTGTGTGTGTGTGTGTGTGTGTGTGTGTGTGTGTGTGTGTGTGTGTGTGTGTGTGTGTGTGTGTGTGTGTGTGTGTGTACTAAAAAAAGGCAAAAAAAAAACTCCACGTCTGTTTGAATTAAGAGCTCCACTGCCCTCGATTTCAGTTTACTAAGGCCCGCTTCAGACGTGGCAACTTTTCCAGCAATTGTGAGGTTGCTGGCGGGTTGTTCAATAGGTTTTCCCAGATCAAAACAAATTGTTGAGATCGGGTTCGGCTCGAAATGGACGAGCAACTCGAGCAACTAGGAGAAGTGTGAAGCGGCAGCAGCCAATCAGGAATGCAATATTTTCACGTGACATCCCTGTGGTAGTGACAATGACAGCTAAAGACTTGGTTCTGGTTTGAAATGGATCGTTTTTGGAAATAAACCGTTTCAAAAAGACGAGTTAGTATTCTCAGCAATATTTAAAGATATAAAAACATGTTTTTTTATGTAACTGTGCATCTAAATAAAGCAAGGAAAATAAAATTTCATCATGATGATGGCAAGCTCAGTTGTCATCATCATCACCACCACAGGGGTTTCACGTGAAAATATCACATTCTCGATTGGCTGCTGCCGCTTCAAACATCTCCGAGTTGTCCGAGTTGCTCGTCCGTTTCGAGCCAGGCCAGATCTCAGCAATTCGTGTCGACCTAGGGAAAGCTATAGAACAACCCACCAGCAACCCCAAAAT